GTCGAGGATATATCTACCTTCGGCCCATGGTCCGCTGGCCCATATAGTACGGGATATTATGCACGTCCGTTCACTCATATAATACGGAGATATGTTACTGCAATATGTGGCACCTGAGCCTGTCATGGTACAAGCTGGTATGAGTGTAGATGTGAGTATCTGATCATAGTATTCAAATCAAATAACTCGGCTTTGCAACCCAGGCCTAACTTGATCGTCACTTCAATGTTTAACCGTGACTTACTGGTGTCCAAGTTGGAGTCCAACAGGCTTGTATAACAGTTCGAAGCTGCTGCACAGAATCTGAAAGAGTCAGAGTCTTAAATAGCCACCGTAACTGCCTCCAAGCCAGTTCAACTTGGAGGAGCTCCAAAGTGCCACAAATGCATATCGCAGGATATCTGGGTCGAAGCTCAAGTTGGATTATTGCCCTTCTCTCTGGCTTGTTCCTTTTAATGATGGTGTTGTGTGGTGCATCTGGCTGCTCTTGGGAGAGGGCAACAGATACCCGTGGACTCAACAGGCATCGTGCATCCTGTCATTCATATAAAAAGTCTAGCATTCATGCAACTCAGAAGAGACAGGAACGCACCAAAGATGCCTCATTGCTTGCACATTTGTGGCCTCCTCACCAGTCATGGCGACCTGTCTGCGAACACTTCACACGTGAGTTGCAACTGTTATTCTTAGTGACTCATGTAAACTCGAACATCAGGTAATGGGCCATCCGAGACCAATTGCCCCCTGCCAATTGCTAGCATCAAAACAAAGGCAAGGGTCTGCCGCCCACATCCTCGATACTTCTGATCTTGCCGACTCGCAACACTCCCTTGACCAAGAAATTCCACAAAATGATGCTGATATTGAGATGGAAGATGGATTTGACTTTGGTTCAGTCTCTTTTGAATAGCAGTCATTTGCCTTCTGTTTCTGATCTCTCGACTCGTCCAGAGGAACCTGGCATGCCCTATGAGATGAATCCCAAGGTGTTTTCGATGACATCAGCGCACTCGGAGGAAGATATCAATTACTCCAAGTCAGGTCAGAGTCCGTCAACTCAAAATCTGGCCTGCCCTCCCTGCCCTCTCCAGATTCTGACGCATTCTTCTAATGCTCAGAGACACGCTTCAAACCCCTTTCAACTTGTTTGGCCTCAGCCGACTATACCCTCGTTCGTCCCTCCTTTGAGCTAGACTGGATTTGTTCCATCCTCATTGCTTGGAAGAACATGTCCAACTGCCCCTCAACAAGCTGATTCTCCACCAAGCATGTTTGCTCCACCATACCCCTTTCCTAATATGACAGTTTATCGTCTCATGTCCTGGATGAACTCCAGCACCAGTCAGATATCAGAGACTAAAGTCGCAGCCCTTGTCAAAGATGTAATGCTCGCAGAAGATTTTGACCGCGAACACCTTCAGCAGTTTTGAGTGAGACAGGGTTTATGAGAACTGGATAAGGATGAAAGCGGGAAGAGAATCACCTTTCCAGATGACTGGATTGAGACTAGCATCACGATTGACATTCCAATGAAGTCAAAGGAGGATTGCTCTAAGCCTTACACTATTCCTGGGTTCCATTATTGCCCTCTCATAGAAGTTATACGCGCCACATTCACAGATGCTCAAGCACAGGCATTCCATCTTTTGCCCTTTAAATGTCTGTGGAAGGATCCTTTAGATGATCATCAAGAGCGAATATATGACGAGCTTTATATCTCTGATGCTTGGCTGGAAGCTCAGGATGATCTTCAAAAACTGCCAAAGGAGTCCAGGTGTTCATTGGAACGTGTTATTGCAGGTTTGATGTTCTTTTCCAACACCACTCACCTGGCGAACTTCAGAACTGCCAAGGCTTGGCCGCTTTACTGCCTACTTCGGAAATCTCACGAAATACTTACGTTCATCACCTACATCGGGATCATGTCACCTTGTAGGATTTTTACCTTCCGTTTAACAAACACTGCTAACATAGACTATCTTTGTCAGCTTCCTGATAGTATTAAAGATATTCTAAGTAGCCTGCCTAGAATCTCAAAAACCGGCATGGCCTCCCTTCACACACACTGCCGAAGGGAATTATTTCATGTGTGCTGGGAAATCTTGTTGGACACAGAATTTCTCTATGTATATCAACACGGATTTGTTGTGAAATGTGCCAATGGAGTCATGCAGAGAGTATATCCTCGAATCTTCACCTATTCAGCTGACTATCCGGAGAAGTACATTTTTTCGTTTGCATTCATTAAAAATGTTGGATGGCTGATACATTTCCAGGGCTTTAATTGCGACCATCAAGGACATGGGCTCGTGCCCATGTCCTCGCTGCCTCACACCTGAAAGCCTTGTTTGGTTACCTTGGACTTGTGAAGGACATGAAATTCCACGTAAGTAACCTTCAAGTCTATGTTACAACTAAGGTTGCCGAGGCTCGCAAGTTTATCTATGGATTGGGAAATACTGTCAATGGTGCAAAGGTCAAAGACACTCTTGGAGAAGGCTCAGTGGGTGCCTGTTCTGGTAAGTCCAACCCTATTAGATATGATCACTAAAACTAGTCCTTGCAGAATCAATTCATTCGAGAAACTGGGAGTTTTAGGCCTTGACCCATTTCGGATGCTTGTCATCGACCTGATGCACGAGTGCGAACTAGGTACCTGGAAGGCACTCTTTACACACCTAATGAGGCTCCTTTATGCCCTCCCTGATGGCATTCAGCTTGTCGCCTCCAGTGTGCTATTCCAATTTTTGAAGGGCTTTTCCCTCTCAAGCATGACACAACCGTGCAGTCTCTGCTATATCAGTTTGCAGAGTGGCATGCACTTGCTAAAATCAGGTTACACTCGGATTCTACTTTGATTTTTCTGGAAGAAACGTTCAAAAAACTCTCCCGGCAGTTGCGAAAGTGTCGGACCGACACATGCGCTACCTTCAACACTCTGGAGTTACCGAAAGAGAGAGCAGCTCATCAAAGAAGATTCAATCAGCATTCTGAAACCCACAAAGTCTCTCCAGAATCCACAGGGCCCAAGGTAAAGAAGTTCAATCTGAACACTTATAAGTTTCATGCAATGGGGGATTATGTGAGGACAATATGGTTTTTTGGGATCACTGATTCATTTACTACTCAAATTGTGTGTATCAGCGACATTCCTTCTATTATGCACCTGAAATCCTCGTACAGGGGGAGCTTGCACACCGAGCGCTGAAGGTGTTCTATCCACTGACTAACAAGCAGGACACTCCATCGCAATTAGCTAAACATGAATGCAGGTGCCATGTACTTCAACAGGTGGCAGAGGCCGCGGCATGTGTATCCCCCTCCATCAATCAATCACCAGTTGATCCCGGAAAGCATTACCATATCGCATGCAATCAGAACAATCCAATTGCTCTATTCACATTCCTTCGAGAGCATGATGACAACCCAGCTCTCAAGGTAGAAGTCGAGTGACATTTTATACACATGTTTACTCACAGTGGTTATCAGAAATTCATACCAAAACTAAAGGATCACATCCTTTATAGGCTGCGCAAGCTAGACGTGAGCCATCGCGACCATATCTTCACAGATGAAGAACATAACTCAGTCATCATTCCTAACGACACAATCTACTCTGTTCACACCATGCAAGTACATTACACCACATATGATACCGTCAACCCTAGGACACACACCGACGTCATGGTGCTCTCAGGCGAGACAACGCCGACTCACCCATATTGGTATGCTCATGTATTAGGTATCTATCATATGGATATGTGGCTCAACAACAAGGAGCAACCTGTGAAGCAGCATCTCGAAGTTCTATGGGTTAGATGGCTGGCCCCCTTGCAAACCATAAATCCAGCACAAAACACGTATGTCTTCCCAAGGTCGCCTTTGTAGAGGAATCGGACACAGATGCTTTCAGGTTTCTTGATCAAGGACAGGTGATTCAAGGTGTGCATTTACTTCTGGTCTTTGTTTCAGGTTGTGGTGTTAGCTCCCTTCGCTATGGAAAATCATTCGTGCGTCCTGAAGGGGAGTTAGATGATTGGGAAGTATATTGCATTGGCACGTGAGCGCAAATATCTGTTCTCATGATATATTGATTCTCAACCTTCGAGCCAGATTTGTTGATCGGGATATGTTTATGTGGTATACTCACCTTGGTGTTGGTCATCCAGCCATGGTGCGGAACATAACCAAAGACTGTCTTGGGTTCAAGTCTCCAGGCACAACCGTTGTAAGCAACAGCAATGAGGCAGATATGGACTATGAAGGCAACAGTGAGGAAGAGTGTTGTGCAGGATGTGATGATGCAGAAGAAGATGAGAGCAACAAAGAGATTAGTGATGACAAAACGGAAGATGAAGACTTGGACGAAGGGGGTGGGGATGATGACGTTGACGATGACGATGACCTACCATCTTTTTAAATTCCCTCTGTCCAGTATCGATCTTCACTCACTAGTAGCTTCATAATTGTGAACATCCCTTCTGATGTTAGGCACTTTGCATGATGATGTTGAGGCTCAAATCACTGAGTCGTGAATGTAAGGATTGCATATCTATTATCCTCTACACACTGATCATGCTTCAAAGCGAAGACGACATGACTCCATTACTCTTCGCATCCAAGTCACGCAGATATATTCTGATTTGCACATTTCCTGAGTTTGTTTGTTTGTTTGTTTGTTTGTTTGTATTTGTACTGTCCTGTGCTTTGTCTCATATTCTCAATCTTGTTGTATTCTCAACATCTGTTATCAAGGAGAACAGTATCATGTATCATATTGTACCCAACTCAGACACTGACACCCCACTCACACATCAACAAATTGCCTCAAATGCAAGCTCCTTGGCTACTCATACTATACCTACATCCTATACCTGTCAATAACCTCCAACACTGTGACAGCCCATCATGATAGGTCACCGCGTCTTAGCACTTGCCCTTGTTTGTAGGGGTATATAAACACAGAGATTCTCTATATCTCTCAATGGCTGTTATCAATCATGATATTGCTCAAGGTTCTCTACTCTTGGTGAGTGAAGTCCATCAAGACCTGTCATCCGAGTCTGTGGTTGAAGGCAGTTTGTTAGTCCTCCATTCCAAGTCCATTCTAGATGGACTTGCATGATTGCAACAAGCATAACAGGGTCACCTGCAAGACTACCCATGCACAGATGGGTTTATCTCAGGCTGGTGATGGTTTATATATTTGTGAGGTGTGTTTTTGTTCTATTTTGTAACGGACAAAGATGCTATAACAATGATCTGCTGCACTTAGGTTCACGACAAGTGCACTAAAGAGTGGTACAGGATCCTCAGACAGCCAGAAAAAGGGCAAAAAACTGGTGCTGAGTAGTTTGGCCCCAAAGGAGCATCCAGCTGTCAAATGGACATGGAAGTGCCTGGTGATGGATTTAGTAACCTTGGCGAAAATTAGTTTCACGAAGTTTGAGTCGTTTTCCTTTACCATGACACACTGGCATGTGACCGTGTTAGAGCAAGATGTTTTTGTAAAATGGTTTACTGTCAAAAATGTGATCGGGGAGCGGTGAGTTAATATGTTTCTATTATTCGAACGCTCACTCAGATCCATTGTTGTATGGACTAGTTAATGCCTTCCAGGAATCTAAGTTTTACAACAAGGGCATTGAGCCCTGTCTGGATGTTGCTTAATGCCTCATCAGAAGAGCAAACTGCTGTAGGTGATGAACTGGGTGTTAGGCGCAGGCAGACTGGACTGTGAATTGTGGGGTATGAGACGGGAAAGCAGGACATGTGAGTTTTTTCACCAATCTTTAACTACTTCTAACTTAGAACATAAAGAACAGCCTGCCACACTCACTCATGACCATTGAGTGGGAGGACACCTTTGCCAGCATCTACTTGAAGGACAACCCGCAGTTGTTGTTCTCTATATGTCGCTTTGAGATCCTCATCTTGCCCAAGATTAGGACGATGGATGGCAAGCAGTTCTTGTTGAAGACGCTGTATGGAATCTCACCAACGAACAGACTTGGTTTCCTCATTCATTCTGTCTATGTAATTCTTAAACCGTTCCTCAGGAAAGGCGCCCCCTAGCGCTCTCGGCTGCATATGTAAATATGAGTCTGTCTCGTTTTTAGCTGATCTGCTTCGTTTACCAGCGTGAGAACAGGTCATGGGAGTTCTAGAGAGCGAGACAGGTCGTTGCCTTTTGATCCTCTTGCTGTGCAACAATTTATTGTTGCATCAATATCCTGGTGAGCCCAAGGGCCAATTCATGACTATGAAGGCTACTAACAATAAGCCTGAACTCCCACCCCACACGCAAAGTAGCCCCAAGTTGCCACCATTAACAGAAATGATCATCACTCTCACGTCTCGAATTTATTGTCGGATCAATCCTCCTGATTGCTTTTCCTGGTCTCGCCAAGACGAATCCACAGACTTCATGGCGTAGGCCTGCAGGCGCTTGCGTACAATGCGCCCGCTCACTTCCTGTGCATTATTTTTTTGGAAGAAACTATCGGCAGGACTTGACATTGGACGTTAATTCCAAAATGTCCGTCAGTGCTCTCGCTGCCCAGACACAGGAAATGGGACAGAATTTGGATATGGGAATTTGTGTAAGTACAGTGTATGTATCCGAAGCATGCAGCTATTTCTCGGTTCGAACTATTAGAACTTTTGTCTGTCATATACCTGATCCGACCACTCCAATATTGATATCCACTCCGCTTTCCGACCCCCTCTGCTCCATCCATCCTCCGCTCCGTCCAATCACAAGTCCGCATTCTGCCCCTACACTTCCGCTCAACCGCTCAACCGGTCCCCTTCCATAACCTCTCCATTCAACTGGACCTCTTTCCCCTTTTAGATATACAGTGGCTCAAAAAACTGTCCGCATGTTTGTGCTATTTTCACTATCTACATTATTGTATATGAATGGACAGGTAGACCAAGGTTATGCTAGTGGGGTACTCTGTAGTACTCCCTTGGGGCATGAATGTGAGCCCTTGACCGTGGGAATCCATGGTAATGTGGTGGCGCTATAGGCCTTAAAAAATGATGACTCATGTGGACAGTTTTTTGACCCAAGTATTTTACACAGATAATTAGCTGTTCTAGTATTTTGTGTGACCTCCCTTGCCCTTAATTCCTGCCTCTATCCTTCTAGGCATACTTTCAATCAATTTCTGACAATCCTCTGCTGTAATCTTTCCCCACTCCACTGTAACTCTCTCCTATAACTCCCACACTCCTTTAGGAGGGTGTTCATAGGCTAAAAGCTTCTTCTTGAGTACTCCCCAGAGGTGTTCAATGACATTGACATCAGGGGATTGTGCTGGCCAGCCAAGGAGGTGAATATTTTGCTCTTCAAACCATTCTCTGGCTCTTCTGCATGTATACTTGGATCATTATCCTGTTGTAAAATAATGTCTTCTTCATCAATTCCTGATTCTGCCATGGTAGGCAGCAAGTGGTGGTTGAGGATGTCCACATACTGCTCAGCATCCATCCTCCCCACAACTTCTGCAAGCATTCCCACACTATTCCACCCCATAGTTCCCCATACCATTAGAGAACCTCCTCCAAACTTGAGAGTTCCATTAATCTCTCTGTCTGTAAGAGGGCCCCCCTTCTTTTTCCACACATATACCTTCCCATCTGACCCAATTCTATTGATTTTAGTCTCATCAGACCATATGACCCGCTTCCAGTCCTCTACAGTCCAGTTTTGATGGGCTAGGGCAAAGGCTAGTCTTCTCTTCCTATGAGTGATGGAAAGAAGAGGCTTTTTCTTCTTTATTACAGCCCTAAGATTGGCTTCCTTAAGGACATTCCTCACTGTTTGTGAAGAAACTGGAGTAGGGATGATGGAATTGATATAATAGGTGGCTTGGACAGCATTATCAGCCTTTCCTGTAGTGATATGTTGGATGATAGCCCTCTTATTGTTACGTGAAACCTCTCGGATGAGATCCGGCAGTGCTAAACCTGCAAGGGGTGTTCTAAGCGTGGCCTTTGGCGCTAGCCCAGCAAGGAGCTTGCCTGCGCTAAGTCTGAGTAAGGGTTGAGGCCCTTACTTGCATAGAGTTGATTGGGGTTTCTTGAGGATACGATCCATGAGACGGAGTTCAACTCAAGAGTATCGTCTCAAGAGAAGATGGTTCTTTGTACAGAGGGAGTTCTCTTAGACAAGAGAAGTTCAGACCCAATGACAAGATCAGATGAGAACCGAGTAGATTCAAGTTAGAGAATCTAGTTACATGAGAAGTGATATATATATGTATGTAAAGTGATGTACCGGTGGAACGGTAAGGGTACAGGGTAAGCGGAGGCAATACCGATGTAGTGGTAAGGGTCAAGGGTTGTGTGAGTCATAAGTGTAAAGAAGTAAGAAGTACCGGTTGAATGGTAAGGGCAAAGGGCATGGGGAATCCCCATCAATGAGAGAACCGAAACAGTGGATAGGGCATAGGGTTTGGTTGAAGCCGAGGCTTCTCTGATCTAGGGGTAGAAGTGAGAGCTTCTCGTGTTTCAGAACAACAGGATCAAAAGAAAGAAATGGAAATAGAATCGTAACCATGGTCCAGGTCTAGATGAGTCCAAAGAATGAAATGACGCGTAACGCTCATGTTACTGTAACACTTATTAGTAGAGATGGACATCCTCCACAAGAGTTTTCCTTGTCCAGGTGGCTTTCTTTGATAAACTTGGCCATAGTATACTTGCATACCTCAGTTCTAGAGGAAATTTGATGAACAGAGAGGCCAGCATAGGACAAAGAGAGGATATTGTCCCTTTGAGCAGAGGAGATGGCTTTCATGGTGATTATGACCATGAGACATGAGACATTCTGGTTTATATAGTTAGATATAGTTTCAAGAGTATGCCTAGAAGGATAGAGGCAGTAATTAAAGCCAAGGGAGGTCACACAATGTACTAGAATACCTGATTATCACTGTAAAATACTTGAGTCAAAAAACTGTCCACATGAGTCATCATTTTGTAAGCCTCATATCTCCACCATATCTCAACCGATTCCCACACAATAGTGCTCAATTGACAGCCCTGAAGTAGTACTACAATATAATACCAGCATGTCCTTGAGGTGTTTGTATATTCTCATACAATATCATAGATAGTGAAAAATGTGAAAACATGTGGACAGTTTTTTGAGCCACTGTATCATGTACTTAGATATTTTCCTCAGTCTTAATATTACTTGTCTTCTCGCAGTTACCTCTTTTGAGAATTCTCAGTAGGACCTTGCCTCCTCCGGACACAAGTCTCAACTTGTTGTCACCTCCAACCCTCCGACCCTCCGCTCCAACTTAGAGCCGTGCTCTAAGTGTCCCTCTTATTTCTCCGCCCCTATCAATATCTTCTTTGCCCCTTTTCCCATCCTCCGCATTATCCTCTGCCTTCCCCGCTCCTACCAAACATTCCTCCTGCCACTATCCACCCTCCACATCACTCTCTGCCTTCTCCGCTCCACTCCTAGTTGGCCTGCCACTAGTAGCTCTTACTTCCTGACCCTCAAAGTGGACCTAAGTGGTTCACTTGTCCTATCATCAGACAACGTCGGACCTACTCCAAATTTGGGGCATGTACTCAGCTAAGGGCGCAGCGCAAGAGCTGAAGCCAAGCCCCGACCCCTCTGCCTCTTGAGCTGGCATGGTACCTAACATTGTCCCTCTTCTGTCTGATAATCTCATAAGTCCATTCAGAAGTATGTAATTTTTAATTAACTTACCTAGTAGCGCTAACGCACACGTCTGAGTCCCAGGAGATATTCAAGCTCCTGCATCTCCATTTCGAACATTCGGCGTTCCCTTGCAATCCATAGCACCATCATCGCGCGCATCTTGTCTTCCCAGACTGGCGGCAGCGGATACGGAGGGAGTGGTAAGGTGGGTTCATAGACTTGTTGGCACACGCGAATTCGCGCGGCAGCCCATGTAACATACATCAACTCCTTCAACAAGGTCAGTGCTGCAGCTCACAGATGTGTATGTTACTCACCAGTTGTCTTCTTGGCATCGTAAATGTCACGTCCAGGGCCCTTGGAGCATGTTGGAGCAGTTGTCTAGGGATCTGTATCATATCAGTGAATATCCAATGTTAAAAAGTCATTGACGCACCTGATTTCCATCTCCATTCTGATTCCCGAATCCCCCGTTAGCATTGGCATGGTTGTTCATAGTGATAGAGTACTAGATATAAATCTGAATCGGAAGTGAATAAATCCTAAGTTGCCTTCAAGGCTTCATCATTAAGTTATCGGGGAAATGTCCCGATTTGGACAATGATGTGTTTCCGGCATTTTCCAGAATAGTGTGGTGCTTATGTCAGTTCTGTTTCATTGAGACTCTTAGTTTCAGCTTACCCCTTTCACATTCACTGGTACTAGAGAGTGAACGCAGCAACGATGCAGCTGACGTTAGTCTAAATGTTAACACTTGTTCATTTATGTCTATTTTTTAGTCTGGCCTTTGCGGGTGAGATCCTTGCATGATTCGCTTGTGCTTTGCCGCTAGTGATGTGCATGGCCTGGCTTCAGGCTGTGGGCCAGGCCAAGCCAGGCCAAAGTCACGGCCTGGACACGGCCCAGGGCTTCCTTGTTCGGTCATGAGGTCGTACAGAGCCAAAGTTCCTTTTCTGACACGTCCCAGGTGTTAACTTGTAATTTCATCAGATATCAATCACGCATTATCAATCAGGATGTACGAGGCTGCGACAAGCGATGCATCAACTGCGCGATGCAATGTCGAGTGCAGTGCTGCTGTATCAGATGTGTTTACTATTTTGGTTTGTCGGTATTCGATAATCAATCCAATAATGCAAAACATAAGTAAGACAAAATGGCAATGGTCAAAATAATTGGCGTGTTAAGGTCATGCTCAAGGGAGAGGTTACTCAAAGGGCTTCGGCTTCAGCTCGTGCACTGCGCCCCTTACCCGAGTATGTGCCCTTTAATTTCCGGGGGACAGAGGGGAAGTCCGACGGAAGTCCGGGGAGTTCCGGAGGACTTAGTGTCGGTGGAGTTCAGTGGAACTCCGGGAGGTTTATACTGGGATGGAGTAAGGCTACTACGGAAGTCCGGAGTAGAAACTGAACAGAGGTTAGGCTACCCTAAGGTAGAGCCGGAGAAGTAGTCCTAAGGTTTAACCCCTAAGACTCGGAGGTGGACAAGAGATGAGACTCAAGTCTGGAGATTGCAGGAATGAGCAGAACTAAGATGATATTCGAACTGAGGAGTTCCGGAGTATTACAGGGGTTTATATATTGTAGGTAACATGTAAGAAAATCAGTCAGCAAAGGTAAGGGCTATGTATGAAGCATGTGGAAAGTCTATTACTAAGTGTAGCAGATCAAAGCAGTGAAGTCGGAAATGAAGTAGGAATGGATGGATCAATAAGCATAGCGGAAAGAACATAACCGGTAACCGGAGCAATAGCTAATCTAAAAGGAGTTAGGGGTGAGTGCGGAGATGAAGGCAGAGCGCCGGGCAGAATAGTACGATGGAGGACCGGACTTTAATGAAGTAGATCCGGAATTCCGGATCCGGAGGTACAGGATATGACATGGCGCCAGTACGCTACCACTGCTCCTCCGCTGCAAGGGAGGAACGCAGTTACGTTGTCGTTGACTGCTCATGTTACTCTGGATTTTTAGGCATTGACGGCTATGTGTTTCCAACTCAAATTTGTCACACTATAAATGATGATATTTAGCAGGAGCTGAATTATATTGTTCTACAGTTCCATCAAGGACTCATCAATTTACTGATCGGTGCCCCGTCTGTCATGATGTTGCCATAACCTCAACCTTGTTTCTTAGTCACATGATCTGAACACTTGTCGGTCATTGCTAAAGCATCTGTGGCGTTGCCACGATCGAGGATAGAGATTGAGGCAGAAAGAATAGACGAAGCCAAGAACTAGGTGCCTAAGCCGACATTCGTGGTTCTGACATAGAGTGACTCGAGTGTCTTAGAAGTATTTGATTTCTCTTTATCATGGGCTCTTCACAAGCTACTAGTATTTAAACCCTACTTGTACTGTAAAGATCCCTTAGTTCTTTTCCAATTGAATCAGACTGGTATCTGGTGACTTTGCGATAAGGATTATATTCTGTTCTATTCTATTCTATTCCTCGTGCTGACACATCAAGTCTTATCAACTTTGACTGCCATCACATATTTTTTCACCTTCAACTGAGTCTTAGCTTATATTTAAAACCTTCTCTGGTCACCTCGTCAACTGGTCTGGCCCACCACGTTAATCAATGGTGACTACTCCAAACATGTCTTCAAAACCCAAACAAACCATGTATAATACCCGCTCGTGCACTCGCGCTAGAGCCAGCTCAGTTTCTACCCCCGCCCACGAGAAAAATGTAAAGGTGCATGATGACTTCGGAAATCTCATCGTTAACCTACTATCAAGTGTTAAAACTCCGGCGGAGGGCCCGAGATCACCTGTGGAATAGCCCAACGCTGCAGGATCCCCTTTGACTTCGGAGGGACAGTCCTACGAGACCGAAAACGAAATCCAACCCACACTGAGACCCATTCGTTCATACAGCGACGTGGTCCGTGCGTGAACCCCCTCAGTTGACCCTTGGGTCGACAGGGAGATTAGACTAGCTGCGAGTACTTTAGTCGAGATACCAACAGCTGAAAATATACCAGCACTGGTGGAGAAATCTGCGGACATAATGAGTTATGAAACAGCGAGTGAGAACGAAGGGCTCACCAGCCAACCCGAGGACAATGATGATCGTTCTTGGTCGACCATTGCAAGAAAATGCAACCGAAAGACGATCTTCAATGACGTCAACAAGAGCCGGGCAAAGAGACCCAATGAGCTAACAAAGGAACAAAAGAAAGTAGTTAGCGCAGCTGAACAACAGCTGACAGAAGACGAACGCACCAGAGTGAACCAACGCAAGTATAGCGTCAGGCATGACCATGGAAATGACACAGAGCCCCCTGGGGAAGGACCATCCAAGGGAAAAGGTCCAGACCCTTGGAACTGGGGAGAAATGACCCTAGAAGAGGAAGAATTAGATATGGAGGCCCAACACGCGGCTCTAGAATCCTACAAACTGGCCAAACGGATGGCCGGTGAATCAGAATCCGAGGACCCAAGTAGGGACGAACCTGGCGATCCCCGAGGGTGTCAAAGGGGCAACAACGATCAAGCTGCCAGAGAGGAAGAGGCAGTAAAAGTCGCTGTAGCTAAAGCAGAGGAACATCTGCGGAAAGAGTATGAAAGGAAATTAAAGGAACTCACAGCGATGATAGCAAAGGGACAGCTCGCAATGCCCCAAGCGAAACAGCTGAACAGAGATCCCATAAAGACCCTTGTGGACAAAGTGGTTAAACCCACCTCGGACCGGCGGGAACGGAGGCACACTCCACAGGCTATGGAGCCTGTACACCAGGTAGCACCGAAGTCCTACATCGGACAGGCGTCAGGGAGAATCGGTCGTACCAGGACTGGATCCGGTGACTCAGACTTGTCGTCGGATGTGAGCTATGATAGCTCAGACAGCTCTGACAATGAGTCGAGCTCGACCGAGTCCCAAATGAGTGACAAAACCACTAAATGAAGGCATAAGCACTCCAAGAGAAAAACGAGAAGAAGGAAGGAAAAAACCACGCTGAAACCAATACCACCCATGGTGTACGATGGCGCAGTAGATTCCAGGGCGTTTCATCGATTTATAACCGAGGGCACAGCCTATGTGGAAGATGGTAAGGTACCCTCCAAAAAGAAGGTGTTCATTCTGTTGCACTACCTGAAGGGTAAAGCCCATGAATTCTATATTTGAGAGGTATCAGGAGATCCATACTGTTGGAGACTGAGAGAGTTCTTTACGGAAATGTTCAACTATTGTTTCCCTATTAACTTTAGGACAAAGCAGCATGAAAAGCTAAAACGGTGCTTTCAGAACAACAAACCAGTGCGCAATTATATCTATGAACTCAATGAGTTGTGGAACATGATTGGGGACATTGATGAATGAGATTGGGTAACTCAATTATGGACAGGATTGAATACAGAGATCCAGTGGGAACTGTGGAAAAAAGAGTTGAATCCGGAAGTATCCTCATTTAAGGAGGTGCAAGCCGCTGCTGAGATAATTGAGATTGCGCACTTGGTAACAACGGGACGCGAAAAGAGACCCACCCGAAAGGAAAAGGAGGCACCAACAGTAGTCGGTAGTGTGGCAGCAACCCTGAGAATTGGAAACCCTTGAAGGGACCGAAACCCAGATGGGAAACAACAAGTGTATTGGCCGAACCCACCTGGGGAACCCGTCAAACAAAACCCAGTTATGGAGGGGACGGACCTCGACGAAAAAGCGAGACACGAACAGGTCAGAGAAACGACTCGCTAAGTATCGAGGAGCGAAATCGCTTAAGCTCCGAGGGACACTGCTACAACTGTAAGGAGTTGGGTCATCTGTTGCAGGGCTGTCCCAAGAAAATAAATATAAAGTCTAGCTCACCTGGCAAGCCGCCTGGTATACCCAGCTTTGGGATACACGTGGAAAATGAATTGTCAGAAGGATTGCGTGGTCTAGCAAACACGACTGAAATGCAAGATGGACTGTACCTAGGTTCGATAGGCATGTGGCTGTCGAATGCCCCCGAATCCCTCATTACAGAAGACGAGGCAGGAGCAGTGAGAACAGTGCGACCTAAGGAGTTTCAGGATCCGATAGCCCAGAGAGCTACCCATTTGCTTCAGGGGGTCAAGTACCCGAATGACGAACAATTGACAGATAATTGGGATGACCCTGATCGATTTACTGTGTTTAGAATCTCGGACGACAAGTATGCAATAATTGATCACTCACGCACCGAGATTCGGACAAACATTGATAGCACAAGCTTGGAAAACCCGAACTTCCGTTTGGACAGCGCATATTTCATCCGTCTAGGTTTGGAGTTAGGGCATGATAGGCGCTGGCTGAGAAAACTAGACTGTGAATGCACGGATCGGAAACCTCCAATGGGAGATCCTGTATCAGATCGCTTAGTTTGGTGGCTGAGTGAGCTCAGCCCGATGTGCACCAAGAGTCTGTTTTGTACTCGGCGCCCACGCTTTACCTGTCATAAAACTATCAATGGGAACTGGCTGTTGTATGATCAGGGATTAGACATACATACTTGGGTGCCGGTAGAAAAAGTGCATCGGCGATATTGGGACCCTGAAAGATGGTATGCATGTCGAGTACAGCGCAAGAGCAGGGCGCTGCAAGGCGTCCAGTACGACGGGATGGCTGGGATGTTTAGTCTTCTTTTGGACCATGAGGAGGGCCTTCGGTTGGCGATATCTGACTGGATAAACCTAGGGGAGACAGTAAGGACCTGTGAGGCCTCGGATAGAGGACACCCATTACGGGAGATCAGAGTATGTGGGGTACAGGTACCGTCAGGAACATACCCTTCATTGCAGCGAAATGCCGTGGTGACCCGCGATTTCACTCGTGCCATACCAAAGCCCATCGTAGTTGTGGTGCTCATCAATGAGCGACCAGCTAGGGCGCTTATAGACACAGGTTCATTAGTGGATTTCATGTCGCTAACTACTGCAGAACAGGTCAATGCATGGCTCACCGTGTTGGAAAAGCCTCTGACAATTCAGCTGGCCGTCCAAGGGTCCAGATTGAAGGTCAATTACGGGACGGCTGTCCAGTTTCAGTATCAGGGCGCTGACTATAAATGATACTTCGATGTGATTAACTTACAGAATTATGACCTCATACTGGGGACCCCGTTTCTTTATCAGCATAGCGTGACTGTTGGGTTCAACGTGTCACACATCGTGCTGGGAAGCACTAAGCCATTAGCCTTGGCAGGAGAAGGGGTAACGACCCTGGAGTCGAGAGTAGCGGAGATCGTTAGTGACAAAATTGAGAAGACACAGGAATACCTGAAGCAGTTAGCATGACCTTTATGTGCTAAAGCTGCTGAAGCGAAGCTTCCACCACTCCGCTCCATAAATCATACCATCCTGTTAATTGACGAAGCGAAAATTTACCTGTGGCAACCATTGAGGTGCCCTGAACCGATGCAACCTCAATGGACTGAAAAGCGAAGTGCGTACCTAGTGTCAGGACGCTGGCAGATGACAAGCACTGGAAATACTGTACCTATGTTATTCATATGAAAACCTGGGACAGATCACCTAAGAATGGTGGTTGATCTTCGAGAACGAAACAAGAACACGTGAAAACTTAGCTCTCCTTTACCGGACATGGAAGTAATATTGCGTCAGGTAGCATGAAAGAAGTTTCATTCGCTAATGGATGGGCAAGACACGTACGAGCATATCAGAGTGATTCCTGAACACGTATCATGGACGGCTATGACTACCCCTGACGGAAACATGGTCAGCCATGTGTTACAACAAGGGGATTGCAATGCACCCGCAACCTACCAGGCCGTGATGAATCATCTATTCAGTGAATACATCAGAATTTTCATGGATGTGTATCTGGACAATATTATCATTTACTCTGATACGCTCGAGGAACACATTGAACACATATGGGTGATTGTGTGTATTCTCGAACGAGAGCAGCTCTACTTGAGCGAGAAGAAACTTAAATTTCTGTGCCCTGTGATGAAAATTCTGGGCTGGATTGTGAGTGACAATGGGATTTGTATGGACCCGGACAAAGTGGACAAGGTACTCACCTGGAAGACACCCGTGAATCACAATCTCTGTTGGGGGTTCATCGGGGCCGTCGGGTACCTGGCAGACGATATACACAAGGTCCGTATACCATTGGGGGTCTTGTCGGCTGTGTGCAGTGACACAGTTCCGTTTTGTTGAACAGAAACAGAGCAGCGTGCTTTTGAAGAGGTAAAGTGTTATGTTAATGCTTGCTCTAAACACCATCGGGTACCACTTACCTACGGGCCAGACCAACCGCCTGCCGGTGACGTACCCTCACGAGATGGAATTACTGGGCCAAATGAGGCACCAATATGAGAAAGACACCTTATTTAAAAAGGTACTCGAAGCACCCAAAGAGTTTAGAAACTTTGAAGTAAAGGATGGGTTAATTAGAATCAAGTTAAAAGATAGGACACCCCTATGCATACCTGATGTTAAGATAGATGGGCGGCGACTAATAGAGATCATAATTGATCAAGCGCACTCCATATTAGCCCATCTAGGGGCAGATAAGACCCTGTCATATCTCCAGGAGTATGTCTGGTGGAAAACCATGGCGCAAGACGTACAAACATTCTGTACCTCTTGTAAAACATGTCAGCGTAGCAAACCAACCACTGCCGTCACACTCGCCTTGCATGTGGAACAAGATAAAAAACACACTGCCAACTAATCGAGTCGTACAGATAGGCTTCAATACAAAATATGATGGGTAAGTCGGGTATCTAGTGTAAAAGAGTGTAAAAGTTGTATGTTTTAGTGTTCAGAACTTAGAATCTGCTTATCTGTTGCTGACTATACTCTGGCGCAAAGGGCCGGTCAGAGTAGCCCCGTTGATTGATTACCAGGCATGTACCACATTTTTTGGTCGCCATGCTCAAGCATGACATCCTTTAGCAGGCGGAATGGAAGGTCGGGCACAAGAAAGGGGGGACGTCAGTCCCTGTCAAGTACGGAAATAAATAATGAACGACTCACGTTGGCATGAACGACCTCCTGAACACAACAAGTCCGCCCTTGTTGTCTATCGTCTCAATAGCACTTTGCAGTTATGCCCATTGATGCTGATGAACATGCTTCCCTCACGCCCATTCCAGATATCCTGGAGGAAATAGCTGTTGTGTTCAGAAGTCTGTGGTTTTACGACAGGGATATACGTGAGTTTGTGCTTGCGCAACTGCTCGACGATGTAGGAGAACTGGAGTTTTGGATCTGCCATGCCCGTGAGTATGCCAAAAATCAGCTGAACAAAGCAGGCCATAGTGTCAATATGATATATCATTTACTGTCATTGAAGTAAATCTGTGATATATCCCTGGAGTCGGCTTACCACGGCAAATAGTTTAGATGCCATTACAAATGATATATCACCATGTACCCAATATGCACTGCCGCAATTTTGGCAATTTTGAAACTCAGCTTTTGTCATTCCAGGCATTTGGTCACCTCCTCATGTCAGGCCTTCTCACACTATTCCCACACTCCGCATTTTCGCATTTTTAGCCACCTTACTCCACAAACACCCAAAACATGACCCAATATGGTACATCCCCACAATTTCAATTATTCCCACCCTCCCCCTACATCATTGCAGCTTCACCACCACACCACAATAGATCCCTGTGCATATATAAGTAGCAGTTTAGTATATATATGTATGATATAATGTAATAGACCGCTTTTTTTGTCTATTTGTGTGCCTGCTCCTCCTCTAGGGCCCTCTTGACATAGGGTAGGTTATAAAACATTTTCGTATTTTTGCCCCTTTGGTGGGGAGGTGTTCTATTATATTCAGAACATATATGAGTAGATTCCCATCTTTATTTCACCCCCTGAAGCGTCCTACATCAATAGATATAGCACATATGCAAGAAAACATAAAATGTGTTCTCATTTAATGATTTCTAGGTGGACAGACTTTGAAAAATGATTCCCAGTATCTATTCAACAGTAGGAACAATATATCAGGAGCATAGGACCATAGGATGATCACCTGTTGCATAGTGTACCCCCCCTCTCCTGGTGGTTCACCCCCTGTGAAATTTTTTCCTGTAGGACCGGACCTTAATTGAGGTGAGGTGTCTATTTCTATGTATATTCGGAGTAGATATATCATATAGCTGACCCAGAACACACATAGGATCCTTCTACAGGAATTAAAATATAGAAAATCGCATTTTTGATGTTTTTACTGTACCATATTGGGTCATGTTTTGGGTGTTGTGGAGTAAGGTGGCTAAAAATGCGAAAATGCGGAGTGTGGGAATAGTGTGAGAAGGCCTGACATGAGGAGGTGACCAAATGCCTGGAATGACAAAAGCTGAGTTTCAAAATTGCCAAAATTGCGGCAGTGCATATTGGGTACATGGTGATATATCATTTGTAATGGCATCTAAACTATTTGCTGTGGTAAGCCGACTCCAGGGATATATCACAGATTTACTTCAATGACAGTAAATGATATATCATACTGCCAGGATATTGTGAACAAAGACCAGTACTGATTAATGTAAAATGTGCTGTTGAATATACCCCATGGACTCAATGGGAACCTCATCCTCTTGGAGCCGACAGCATCTACACCAGCATCTGCAACCTCGAGTGCAAACCTTGCACAATTCTCGGTGCTCCCGCCATATTCATCCGTACAGGTGATTGGTGATGTCTTGAATGAATTGATCGACCAAGTAGCTGTTCACGTCATGAATCTCAACGCCATCAAAGCCCGCTCGAATGGTGTTTTTTCGTGGGGGTGTTCTTGTGGACTGCATCTGTTACCTGTAGTCTGGGGCGCACGTCGGCTCTCGTGCAGTGAATTCGATGTCGATACAACACACCTTCTTCCACCCCTCCACATGAGCCTCAGTGTATATTTCAGGGACATAGTTATAACTGCCAGCATTCTGAGACATGAATGTGGCCTCTGTGGTAAAAAGAGTGCTAGGAGTGAATCCTCGCTGAGAGTAGTATGCTGGTGCTTGTGGACCTGGGTGACTTCATGCTGCTTTAGACGCCCAACACATGATGCTGTTACTATCATAAGTGCCCCTGCTTGACGAGGGCCACATACTCCAAATTATGTAGCCGGAGCTTTCCAGATCACTCAACAACCGACTACCATTGCAAGTGTTGAACAACACCCACCATCGAAATATTCCAATCCTTCCGACCATCGAGAAACTAGTGGGTGGTAAATCCAGGTCGCACCGTTCGAGGGATGAAAGTAACCTTGCTGGATGCACATGCCTTACGACACGCATGACTTCCAATTGTCGGCTATCACTCATCTCAGACGTCGCAGATGTACCATGAGTACTGCTACTGGGACAGACAAGTAGAGCTTGTTTTTCGTCATCACACGTCGGAACGACTGTCTTCCTTCTCTCAAGGTTTGACTACGGGAGACTAGTACCATGCAGCATGTTGACCAGTGTGGGAGTGACGGCAAGTTTGATATCTCTCAAGATTCTTTCGCATACTAATTACGAGCCCACCATAATCATTGCCCGCGCTCTTTCAAGATGCATTGTTCTCGCACGGAATCACACTATTGTTTCATAAATTTTGCGATGCCTGGAGATCCACATATAGTTGGCACATCGTGACGGGGGCCTGTTCATAATTGATTCATGTTTTTTCAAGGCGATATCATTTATGCTCGTCTGCTCAACAAGCCTGTTGTTGTGATCGACTCCTGAGGAGGTCGCAAGGGACCTCGTTGAAGGGCGTTCCACCATATATTCGAATAAACGCCAGTCGATTGTTTACGAATCGTGAGTGCATCTTGGAGTATTACTACGCATCAATCACGAGGATATTGTCAGCTTTGCTTCGGGCTTCAACGCAGGAATAATGTCAAGTAATACATTGTTACACGTTATGTTGATGTCCAGCAAGGTGGGGCTTCACCAACGAATTTTTCATCAGGCATTTCGTCAAGCTGAGATACCCACTTATCATACTGTGCAACTCCGTTGCGCCCACAAAATATTGTTCAGTCTTCTACAAGACCCTGGCAATTATGCAAGCCATTTTAAGATGTCAGCACCGTGGTAGTGTTGTGGACTTCTCAGTATCATCATGTATCGATTGTAGATGCATATGTGGCAACATATTCCAGACAACTTTCGCGAAGTTTCGCGTCGGAGATATCCATAGCACACTAACAGAGATCGGCCCGAAGGTGAGTGTGCGTGGCTCGCACATACTGTAGCCATCAGTCCATGTCAATACCGCGACATCCAAAGATAGCAAAAACGCGTTAGCGAAAAGCCTTGCAAGGTTGAGTTCAATGCCTGTACTTTATGCACGGTACTTGTATGTATGAATGGCATGTCTATGAGCGTTAGTCAAGAACATGCCTACTGTACAAGAGTTGATACACTGCAGGCCGTGACGTCTTAGTCCCCACACGAACCAGTATGATTTAATGTTTTCCACCATCGATCGAGATCTGCACAGTTGTCAATCTTCGTGCACGGGCTCTCGAAGTAGTACTTACGCTTTGCCTGTTGGTTAGTAATGTCGGTCACATTAGGACGGATAGCGAAAAAGGTTCTAAAATATGGGCAGCATGATAATGCTGCACCACTGCTGCGATTGCTGCGGTAATTGCCACGATGTTCTACAGTCAGTACTACTACTAAGTAAATACAACTTGCTTGTCGCTGGCACATGTTCTGGTGTCTGCATGGTGCACTCAGTAGTGCATGGAAGGACTTCACATGATAAATATAAGCTCGCCCAGTACTTGGTGTCTTGAAATGTAGCACTGAAGACCAAATTGTAGTCTGTCCCACTGTTCCAGATTTAAGATATCATATGAAAATCCACCACTAAAAAGTATGTGTATTACAATGTGAGTTCAAATCCAATACATGATGCGAAAAAATGGGTCTGAAGGATATGCTACTATGTATTATACAACTTGAGTTCTGACAATTTATGAGCATAAGTTAGTGTCGCAGCACCAATGTCGCAGCACCCCCCAAAAAAGGAAAGAGGGTGCTGCAGGGTGCTGCGGTGCGCTGCGATTGTTGCTGCGACACTCACCAATGTGCATGCGGCGCTCATTTTTGGTTTGTTTTGCTCAACCACCTGACGTCAATATCGTCAAGTTGTCTGGTGAGTGCTCAACCAGTTCATTTCTGTTGCGTACATGTCAGTAGTCCATCCAAGTCAATCAATTCACGATCAATGCCAATCTCATTGTCTGTTATCGCTGGCTTGTGTATTGGCCCGTGTCGTTCAGCACTCTATGGCGCTGGATCTGTTCAACTATTCTTCACATACAAAACTCACACACACACAGACACCACACACACACAAACAAGATGCACACACATAATCACTCCGTCACATACACACTCTCGTACCATAAAAAAATTAGTACTGCACTATTAGATCTGACATGATTCGATAATCAATTTATATTGCAGACAAGGCTGCTGATGAAGGGTTCTATAAATGAATCTTTTTAAGGCCCGGCTGGTAGACGAGATGGAGCAATGAGAAGTTAGCAGGTCTCGGAGTGAAACGCACTGAGAGTCGCCAGCATTGGCAGCAAAGCCTCGAATCTTTTTGAGGCCATGATGTGACGTCTACTATTTAGCGTGTGAAGGCTCGAAGTAGGTGGCACAATTAGAAGAGCGTTATCAACTGATAGACGGTGTTAAAGTCTGGTATTCTGGGTACGATAAATGCTGCCCTAATTCTATGACAGTAGCCCATATTTAAACTATAGTAAACGAGACGTAGGGTTAAGGGTTCGGAGAAGATAGGAAGCAGACACGGAGAAGTAACGAGCACAGGCATATGATAAAGGTAAGATAGGATGTATTGGATTCTAGTAATAAAAGATAGGTAAGAAGTAGGGACAGTATAAATGAGAATCAGGGGAATGGTTGACAGTATTAGGACTCTGAAACAGCAACTGTCACTTAGTGTATATGACAGCACCCGTTACATCTCCCCCTCCAGAGAGAGGCCACACTCTCATCCAAAGGTTAGACTCGTTTGGCGGAGCCTCACCCCACGGTGTTCATCTCGTCCTCGGTGGGTGGCTGGACACTGCCAGACGCTTTGGTCCCTCCGGGGGCACCAGTGTTAAGCGCGTTCCTCTTTTGGTTCCCAAACCCCTTTCTAAACATCTTAACCTGCTGCTTCTTGAAGTAGTTCTTGCTCTTCTTGTTCATCAAGCGGCGCTCCTCGATCTTGTCCCGCTGATGAGCGGCAGAGAGGGCAGTGTGCCACACCATGCAGTCAACTTGGTCCATGCGCATAGCGGACAAAGTGACGTCTTTGTCATCGTCGTCCAAGAGATCTCCCATCTCAATGGACGCGCCTTCGCACTTTACAATGCCTTGTTCGTCGATGACAGAGGCGGTAGTGGTAAGTCCCTCATGATTGTAGGCACGAGCAAAGTACTCATAGCCCAATGGGCAGGCAGGGCGAGCCGAGGGAGCCTTGTTACGAAGGGCGTAGGAGTATACGATGAATGCCTTCAGCTGGCTGCGGGTGACGAGACGTAGTTCGTTCACATCGTCTGGGTTGGTGATAATGAAGTCTCGATCGCGCTCGGCGAAGTTAACGAGGGGAGCGGAGTGCATGGTTCTTGGTGATTGGCTGGAGGGAGTGATAGATGGGGGGTTTGGAGGAACGGGACAGGGTTTTATACATCGGTTGACCTCCAATGCGACTGCTCCTAGAGATATTGGCTGGTCATCATTAGGGTTCGTTCCTTGTCCATCTGTCAGTTCCGAAATATTCTGATAGCGCGTTCAAGTGCGTTACCTGGTCATATGGTAACCAGGTAATATTGCCTGCTTGCCACTGTACCTCAAAGGACGCATCTTCCCAGGCCCCCATGTGTGACAGGATTCTGTCGACTGCCCACTCAGTGTCAGGCTCTCCGAAATCCATGATTTGGGTCTCCAGCTGTCCTGGAAACAGGCGGTCGTTGTTGGGCAAGTGAATGCGCAGCAAGGAGGCGTGGAACACAGGATGGACTCCCCATTGTTTCAATCGATTGGGCAAGTCCACGAGGAAGGAGTTGTTACCGTAGTCCTTTAACAGCTTGTATGGCCCTACATACTTGGGTAAGAGTTTCTGTGCTAGCCCCTTAGGAAAGGATATATTCTTTGTTGATAGGTACGCCAGGTCGCCCACCTTGAAAGGGCAGAGCTGGTGCTTTCAGTTGGCATTCTGAGTCTGCTTGACGCGGGCTTCGAGCATTGAGTTGTGGGCTCATATGAGCAACTCCTTCATTTTCTGAGAATATGCTCGTACCCCCGGATATTCGTCCTGTCGGGGGTTATTCCATACCATGGCACGCGGCATCCGCCTGTTATTGATGAAGAATGGTGACTGGGAAGTCGATTCCGACTGGGCGAGATTTATTGCGAATTCAATGGCGGGTAAGCATGATGCCCAATCCTTCTGGTTGGTTGAGATGCAGGACCATAGCATTTGCGTGATGGTTCAATTGGCCCGCTCGGTTGCCCCATCAGATTCGGGGTGGTAGGCGCTAGACATTTGCTGCTCGATGCCTAGCAGTCTGTTGAGGTGAGTCCAAAACGTGCTGGTAAACAGGACATCTCGGTCGCTTACAATCGACCGAGGCAAGCCGTGTAGCTTATACACTTCGGCAAATACTAGCTCAGTGATGTCTCTGGCGTTGTAGTTAACACGGCTGGGCACTAGATGGACCATTGACGTAAAACGGTTGATTATCACCGTTATCGAGTCGTATTCCCCGTCGCAGTCCTTTGATAGTGGAAGGGGTCCCACGAAGTCGATTCCAATTGACTCCCAGGGCCTTGAGGGTATGGAGAGTGGGTGTAGCATCCCATAGGGCCTCTGGTTGGAGGGCTTGCTCCTCTTGCATGTGTTGCACGAGCTACAGAAAGCGGTAATGTCACTTACTAGACTCTTCCACCACACATGGTCCCGAAGGTACGTCAATGTCTTTGATGCTCCTAAGTGCACCAGGAGTGAATGGGCTTGTGAGATAATCACCTCTCTGATAGCTTGATTGCTGACTTTTACGTTGGGCACACATAACAGGGTCTTATCATGCAGGCGCAGTTTAATCAATCCGTCCAATACTTCGAAGTTTCGGTATTCACCAGGTGAGTCTAATATCCGTTTAAAGAATGGGTCCAGGTTATACTGATCTCTGATACCTTTGATCAGTTCACTTTCATCTGGGTATCCCAGGTGTGCTAGCCGCTCTAGCGGTTCATTGCTGTCATTGTTGTTGTGTGGGCTTACAGGAGTCTGACCTGCTACCTCCCCCTCCTTTTGTTCCACCAGTCCTTTGAGAACGAAACGGGGTGCGACACGCTTGGCGAATTCCGTGGCCATTTCAGGACGACCAGTTTCCGCAGGTCCCACCCTGCGCACAGGATGACCAGTCGCCGTGGGCGCCATCACGCGGGCCCACTTGGGGTGGCCTGCTACTGGCGTTTTGGGAGGCACCTGCCCGACAGGTGCCTCCCTCTTAGACACGAGCCTAGTGCTGTGTCTGGAGGGGACCATCAGTGCCTCAGGTCCCACCAAGACAGGCATCGAGATGAGCCCCGGCAATCTGCTCCACTGTCCCTCCACGACGGAGTCATCGTGTTCTGTGAATTCACTGGGGGCACGGACGGTACCTGGGGCATCAGGGAGGATGTTGTCCTCCCTGGGTAAGTACTGAATCTCGAAGTCGAACTCACCCAGCTTCTCGATCCAACGAGCTTGCCACCCGGTCAGGTCCCGCTGATGCAGTAAGTCAACCAGTCCCTTATGATCAGTCAGCCATGTGAACTTTGCGCCCTGCAGGATGTCCTGATGCCTGAGCATCCCCTCAACCCCCGCCAGCATCTCCTGCTCATGCACAGCATAGTTCTGCTGCGCGGGGTTGAGTTTTGCACTGTACAGCACGGCCACCTTGGCAGAGCGCCAATCCATGCCCTGGGCCACCACCGCAGCAATACCCCGCCCACTGGCATCGGTCATGAGCCAGATGGGAGGAGCACCGGTGCTGTAGTCCAACGGCACGCGGTGGTGCCCCTGACAGTTGTCAACATAGCGCTTGACCTCCTCAAATGCCCATTGGTGGGTGAACTCCCAACGAAACGGCACAGTGTCCCCCGTGATTTCAGATAGCACTCCCATCGGGACCCTGACATTATGGATGTTGTCAGCCAGGAAACCCACCGCCCCCAGCCCCCCCAGGAAGCTCCGCAGGGCGTCGCGGTTTGTTGGCATCTTCCAATTGATGATTTGGTCGACCTTGTCAGGATCCTTGCGAATGCCCTCCTCGTCAATCACATGACCCAAGATTTTCAGCCGGGTGCAGAGAAACTGTAGTTTACCCTCACTCAGGTACAGTTTCTCTCGTTCTAGGATCCTAAGTACCGTCCTGACATGCTCCATGTGATCGGCCAGGCTATCCGAGTAGATTATGATGTCATCTAGATAGACGTCCATCCAGTTCCCGATGAATTCACCGAAGAGGTGATTCATTAATGCCTGGTACGTTGCAGGGGCGTTGCAGTCCCCCTGTTGCAACACTGTGCTCACCATGTTCCCATCAGGGGTGGTGACAGTCGTTCGGCTGACATGCTCGGGCACGACACGAATCTGTTTATATGCATCCTGTCCATCGATTATAGATCGAAACTTACGCCTTGCGACCTGGCGCAGTATCCCATTGATGTTGGGCAAAGGTGATGACAGTTTTTTTGTATTTTTATTACGCTCACACAGGTCAACGACCGTGTGCAATTTGTCTGTGCCGGGCTTGCAGATAAACAACATTGGTACTGTGTTTCCCGCGCTAGTCACCTTCCACCGTCCTGACGACAGGTACGCTTTTTGCTTCTCACCCCATTGAGGTCTTAGGGGCTCAGGGCACTTCAACAGATGCCACTTATAAACCTTGTCCAGGTCAATTAGCAGTATCGTGTGGTTTATCGCCCTTAACGGGGGCAGCCCGGTTTCGCTTGCCTTGGCACACAGCAGTTTGGCCAGGCGGTGGAGCTCCTGCCGAGCGTTCTCCAACTCCTCCTCAAGCATCCCCACCATGCGAGACTCCAGTACTGACACGTGTTCACCTTTCACAGGTTGAGCCTTATCACTCCCCACCACTACTCTGGATGGGTTGAGTCCCACCATCACCTGGTGTTGGAAGAGGAAGGGCGTTCCTAGTATTAGATCATAATTTTGTAAGTTTATTATATCAAAGAATCACTCTTCACTAATGCGCTGGTAGGAGAACTGGGCCTTCGCCCCAAAGTTCACTTTAGATCGCGAGCCCTGCACCACGAGCTGAATGGTGAGTGGTTTTTCCAGCTGGATCCGTTTCATGCGCAGTTGTTCTGCTAACGTCGATGACATGAAGTCTGCCAGCAAGCCTGTGTCAATCAGGGCTCGTGCAGGTCGCCCGTTTACGTGCACTACCACCACGACGGGCTTAGGAATTAGTCGCTTCAAGTCCTGTGTGATGGCCGCGTTGTGTTGGATGGCGGGATATTTCCCCGGCACCACCTGCTGCCCATTTAATTCGATTAATTGGAAGTGGCGAGCTGTCTCCCCAAAATGTATGTCAGGTATCGTGAAAAGCTGATGCGCCACTTCTTCTAACGCACAGTCCATAGGGTTGCGTCCCCCATCCTCCAACAGTTGAAGGGAGTAGTCCTCCCACTTCAGCTCAGCCTCCAGCATTAGCGCATCCAACTGCCTATATGCTTTCAACAATCGCTTCGCATACCAGTGGGTGATGCTTAATTTTTCATTGCATAGGAATTCCTCGGCTGCCCGTACGTTGAAGTTTAACTTGTTATTGAACACTTTGTACATGACCTTGTCCCCATACTCTGCCCGTTGACAGATAAATTGGTCTATTACAGTGCCCCCCAGGTATCTACCCTCATTGTTCAGGGCCGATGAAACACGCACAGACATCGCATCGCCCATGGGGGCGTGATTCTTAGTTGGCCGTAACATTGGCTGCGGTAGGTCTAGGGGTTCTGCTAGCCTCCCCGCGTACCACTCGCCCACCCCAAACTCAGGGTTCTCTAACAGGTGAGACGGGATCTCAACGTCATCCCGGAGGTGTGATCCACGGTCCATGATGATGTGGTGGGTACCAGAGGTTTGGTAAATGAGGAACTGTTCCTCTGAGAAAGTCTCTTCATTTGTCAGGTCATCACCTGGGTAGGGGCCGTGTATCCTTAACAGGTGCTCTGCCCATCTAGCCCAAGGGTCACCCAAGGGCACATCAATAATTCCCCATGCGCGGCTCACTTGCACCTCATGTATGGGGTTCTCGAGAGAAGCACATCCCAGAGGGATTTCCGTGATTACCTCTGTGCTGTAATCTAACGCCTCCAGGCTTCTGTCCTCGGGCGCCTCTACGTGCATGGCGTAATTTGGTATCCCTGGGGGTCGGTTGCCGCTACCCGAGGGCACTGTGGTTCTGCTGGGACAGCTCCGGGAGATGTGCCCAGTTTGCTTGCACACAAAGCATCAGCCCTCTGAGGCAAGTCTATCATGCTCTTCCTTGCTCAATTTTTCAGGTTGTTCTCGCGGTGGTCGGTGATTGCCAGCCATCCTTCCTGGATTCCCAGGGGGTACCCTGTTTCCCCTTAGGCAGGTCCTATCCCTGCCCCGCAGTGCATTGGGGAAAGATCTCCCAGCAGTCGATGGGCCTGAGTACGCTTGGCTGGGGCGATCCATGTGTGGTGAGTTACAGATCAATTTATTGCTTCCTTTCTTCACGGGTTGTTGCCCGTCATTGCGACTGCGTGATTCGGTCGTTGAGTTTGCTAACTCGATGATTTCAGCTGTTCATTGAACCCTTCTCAGGGACATGACCTCCGGGTTGAGACGCATCTTATACAGCTCACTTTGGATGCTGGGGTTCAGCCCGAACCAAAATTTAACAACTTTTTCTCTTTCGGGTATGTTACCGATCATCATCCAGAGCTCGTTTAATTCAGACAAGTAGTCTCATACTCTTTTGTTGCCTTGGAAGCAGCGGTATAATTTCTTATGCTGTTGGGTGCAATAATCCAGCGGGAAGCAGTAGTTAAATAACTCCATAAAGAATTCCTTTAACCTCCACTCAGCTGGTCGGTCTGACACTTGCCTCGCATAGAAGTCATGCGCCTTTCCTTTCAGGAAGTGAGATAGGACGAAGACTTGGCGCTTGCGGGGGACATTCCCATCTTCCACATAGGCAGTTCCTTCAGTGATGAAACAATGGAATGCGCGGGAGTTGACCACGCCGTCGTATTCTGCAGGCGGGATTGGTTTCAAGGTGACCCCTCTCCTTTCCAAGACTTTTTTAGATTTACACTTCTTTGAGCGGTTTCGTTTTTTAGAGGATCGCTTCCTTCGCTTAGGGGGTTCATCATCTGAGTCCGATGATGAATTATCTGGTGAGTCGGACGACGAGGACGATCCTCCTGATGATGATGCCTGTGTTGATTCATCTCGGGAGTCTGAGTTCGACTCGGGCTTGTCCTCTGACGAGTCGGGGTCCCTGTCAATGGTGGGTTTCGATCTTCTCGATTTGAACTGGTCGAACGTGCAGCCAAGGTAGCTCTTAGGGGCTATTTGGGCCATGGCGTCTAATGCTGCGGGGGATGCCCTCAGGCCTCGCCTCCTGGTCTCCTTGCCCACAGTCCTTTGTATTAATTCCTCTACAGGATTGCTGACGGCTGCCCTCATGCAGGGGAGCACTGCTTGGTTAGCCGTGGCCTTAGCCAGTAGTGAGTCCCTTCATTGTATCTCCAAATTCAACTGTTCTATTTGCTTCTGAAAGGACTTAGCCATTCGCTGTTCAGCCTTCTGGACCGCTCGTTCTGTCGGGTTGGCTTTTGATGGTTCATTTTCCCCTTCGGACGCCTCTGCGTGGGCGCCATTATTCTTGTGAGACCACTCGCATGCATTGGCCCAGGCCTTCAATGCTTCCATCTGGGCCTCGACATCTACGTCTGAGTCATTGAGGTCAATACCTCCCCAGTTACGGGGATCTATTCCCTTACCCTTCGGCGGTCCTTTGCTCGTTGTAGGGTGGGGCTCGACTGATCTAGCCCGCTTCTCAGCGCGCCTCCTTTCTCAGATGCGTCGGCATTCTTCAGAGGTGAGGTTCTTCTCAGCCTCTTTAATCAGGTCTGTTCCTGGTAAATCCTTCTGCCGGGTTTCAACCCTGGCATTCCCAGGTTTGTCCTTACTGTCCGTCCTGGACTTCTTGGACTTCTTATAGCAATGTTCAACCTCTTTCCAAGGTTCGTCGCTTTCATCACTCGTGGTATAAAAGGGGGAGCTGTTAATATTCACAGGAGTATTAAATATAGGGGTCGTTCCCTCGTCCGAACTATCCAACGCCAAAGTGCGCAAGACACTGTCAGATTCCCTTTCAGCTCCAGGCTGAGGGGTTTCTGACCTTGTTCATACCACGTCGCTGTACGAGCAAACGGGTCTGAGAACGGGCCGAACAGGAGCGTCATGAGACAGCTCTTTTGTTGGGATAGTTGGTGTTTTGTTAGTTCCAGTTGAGGTCAACGACGACGTACTTTGGGTATCAAGATTTGGGGCAGGACCTGCTGAGGTGGATCTGCCCAAATGGAGATTGTAGTGTGTAGACATTGGTATGATATCGAGTGGTATGTCCGGTGGGCCTTAACCGTAGATGCCGACTTGAGATGATTGAGAATAAGAAATGAAAACTAGTAAAGACTTTGGTTCGTCAAAAAAGATGTGACGTCTACTATTTAGTGTGTGAAGGCTCAAAGTAGGCAGCACAAGTAGAAGAGTGTTATCAACTGATAGACGGTGTTAAAGTCTGGTATTCTGGGTACGATAAATGCTGCCCTAATTCTATGACAGTGGCCCATATTTAAACTATAGTAAACGAGAGGTAGGGTTAAGGGTTCGGAGAAGATAGGAAGCAGACACGGAGAAGTAATGAGCACAGGCATATGATAAAGGTAAGATAGGACATATTGGATTCTAGTAATAAAAGATAGGTAAGAAGTAGGGACAGTATAAATGAGAATCAGGGGAATGGTTGACAGTATTAGGACTCTGAAACAGCAACCGTCACTTAGCGTATATGACAGCACCCGTTACATAGTGCAGTACTAATTTTCCTACAATACAAGAATGTGTATGCGAAGGAGTGATTGTGTGTGCGTCTCATTTGTGTGCCATGTGTTGGGACTCTATTATGTAACAAGGCACGAGCGAAAGAATAGAGTAAGGTCTTTGACCAAACGGAAGACGCGGCACCGCTTCTTGTTTCTGTGCCGCGACCATCGTTCATTGTTGCGTAGTTCACTCTCCTCCTCATATTTCTTTTTCTAGAACAAAACCATACTTAAGAACTTTTTTTTAAAAAAAAACCAAATCACTCCATACCCACACAATAACTATCATGGTTGATCCAACAACCGAAGCTTGTCCAGACTACACAGGCACACTTTACGCCGGCATACGCACCGACTTGACAGCAGCCACAGGACAAACAGAGCAGGAAGTCATAGACCGCTTAGTAGACACCTGGAACACAGGACACGAAGAGAGAGTCCTCGCTTGGGAACAACAACAAGAGAACGAGGCACTCGCAGTTGCCAACGCTGAGAGAGCTCACGAAGCGCAGGAAGAAGCAGAGCATGCTCTACAGGAGGCGGGAGCGCAGAAGGAGCATGCAGAAGCAGAAAAGAAGAAACCGAAAATGAAAGGATTCAAGGAAGCCTCAACAGTAGGAGACTTCTTGGTTCCCCGTCCCTCCCAATACGCAGTTCAAAAGCTCACTAATTTTGAATACATAGAGCTATGGTATTTTTCTCCCGATGGATGCAAGGAAGCCCTCAAAACTTCGAAATCTGTCGCAGACGACTATGGTCTAACCAAAGTGGACGACCAGCTCACCATTCATCCAGCGTCAGCCTTCAAAGCCTCGAAGGCAGCACTAGCAGATCACGAACTACCTTTCTCAGTTTTCCTACGAGCAAAGAACATGTTCCTCATTCAAATCAGCCAGGCCAAATGGCCCCAAACCCATGTCGACACTCTATCACTTATCTTCTGGCGTCTCAAAAACCACGCGATTTGCAACCACAGCGACATCGGAGACATGGTTATCCTTAACTACGCTTCGAGGGTGCGCCATGACTGGCACGACTGCTTGAAGCGAGACAAGGGTTTCAATATCAGGAACCTCAACGAGACTCTCTTGCGCACAATTAGCGAAGAACTATGGGACAAAGTACGATCCCGAACCCTGGCCTTGGTACGTGTCGCACTCCCCCCTACAAAACACCAACTAACCACACAACCCTTCCTACCCATATAACCACTCTCGTACTCACCCACAACCCACATACGTGGATGCCCGCGATGCCACTCCCGCGGATGCCTGCGATGTCACTCCCGTGGATGCCCACACACATGCTCACGCAGATAATGCACCTGTCCATCACATAGCCTTTGAGCAAGGACTCATCCACATACCAGAGCAGCTTCCGAAAATCGAGCTACCGTGACACGCAGAGCAATAATCATCAGAACCGTGACTCACGTTCACGCTCGCCCGTTCGTGGTGGAGGAGCCCAGAAGGGCAGATCATCTTCACCAGACAACACCCGGGACAAGAGCCGTTGTGAGGGTTTTTCTCGTGGCGCAGGCTCACGTGGCCGCTCAGCCTGTGCCGTATGTCTGGGCCGCTTTGCACATGACATTCGTCACTGCAATTCCAGCAACCTCTGGGACGGATCCAATGCCCATTGCCGTCGAGCACAGGACAGCCAAATCATCAACCCTCAAGGACTCCCACTATGCTACAAATGGCAGCGCCCCGAGAGTTGCGCAGCCCCAAACCACAAGTCATCCCATGAGTGCTCAGGATGTGGAAGCAAAGACCATGGAGCGCAGAAATGTTCTCGAGTCGAGAAAGCATGAGGCATGCACCCCATACAAGGCCAGCGAGTGGCAACGTCTCCTCGAAGAGACAAATCTCCTTAGTAGATATCCATCTATACCTAGATGCCTGGTCAACGGATTCTCCAGAGGAATCCCTCCAATTACATGTACATATGCCCCCACCAATAGCCCCACCCTTGACGAGAATGTGGTTGCATTCTGGAACATTGTCGACAGTGAATTTTCCAAAGGCCGATTCATCAGCCCTTTTAGCGCTGAAGAACTTAGGTCCATTGTCAGCGAATTTCAAACAGCCCCCTTATCCCTTGTTCCCAAACCAGGCAAACCAGGCAAATTCTGCCTGGTTCAAAACCTTTCATTCCCGATTCACCCATTACCTTCCATTAGATCAATTAATTCCAGAGTCAACTCTGACTTATTTCCATGTACCTACGGAACTTTTCCCACCATTTGTCAATCAATCTGGAGCCTACCTCCCGGCTCGCAAGGAGCTGTTCGGGACGTGGCAGAGGCATATTGAACAATTCCTCTCCACTACTTGCAGTGGCCTGGCCTGGCCATACGCCTACCAGGTGACAATGCATTTGCAATTGACACAGCCCTATGCTTTGGATTTGGCCCTTCCGCAGGAATTTATGGAAACGTGGCAGACGCAGGAACTGACATCCTATGTGGCAAAGGCATCGGACCCATTTCAAAATGGGTCGATGATCACTTGTTTTTACGTATCAGGACAGAGTACATCGAAGAATTCAATAGACATCGTGTATGTGCGGCAAATGAAATCAAGAAGAATGGAGGAACCATCATTGATGGAGGCCGTAAATGGTATAAAGGGGCCACCATGCCGGACGGCAGTGTCGAAGAGTTCGACGAAGACATGCTGTTTCCCCTCCAAGATTTATCCTCACGGTCCCCACGATCCTTCGAGGACTCTCAATTCTCATACTGCTTCGATGACATCGACTTTTATTCTTACTTACTGGGGATCATTTGGGAAATATCGAAGGACCATCCCTTCAGCTCCAAGCCACTTTTCACCGGACTCGTTTGGGACATTACCAAATGTACTGTGGCATTATCAAGCCACAAGCAGGCGAAATACCTCAAGGCTATCACCATATGGCAATCCAAACGGACTCACACCCTCCATGAGGTCCAGAAGCTGCACGGCAAGTTGTTGCATGCATGCCTCGTGGTTCCAATGGGGCGAGCTTACCTCACCAGCTTGGAAAGCATGCTGGGCATATTTGAAGACCGCCCGCACATGCCATGAACCCCCCCTCATAACACCCCAGAAGACATTGAGTGGTGGAAAGCAACCCTCAGCCCCAGCCACATCATTCACCCAATACCAGGACCCTGCATCGTCCATGACCCCCTTGCCTATTCGGACGCTAGCTCTGGTCACGGAATCGGGATTGTCATCAACGGGAGATGGCGAGCGTGGAAACTCTTACCTGGTTGGAAAAGGGACGGGCGTGACATTGGCTGGGCAGAAAGCATTGGGTTCGAGCTCCTCGTTCGGGCCACCATTGAGACTGCTCCCCCCGGAACTCATTTCAAGGTCTATGGCGACAACCGAGGTGTCGTTGAAGGGTGGTGGAGGGGATGCAGTAGGAATAGGACCTGCAATGAAGGCTTCAAGCGGATTCACGCACTCGCTGCCAATGCCGAGTGTACAATCCTTACTTGATACGTCCCGAGTAAAGATAATCCCACTGATGGTCCCTCACGTGGAATATATCCCCCCACATCTGACATGCTCCCCCAAACCCCAATCCCAAGGGAATTGCAAGCGTTCATTTCCAATGTACCTGCCAGCGAACTTAACCACCACATCATCCGTGGTGCTAGCACATCCAGCACGTACCAACCGTTTCCGACAATGGTCAAAAAACCCAGAGACGACGAGTACAGACACTGTGCATCTGTCAACCGCGAACTTGAACGAAGAGGGCAGGAACTCTTCCAAGCGTCGCAAACCTTGTAAGTCAATCCTCATGTCAGAGCGGGACAATTGACCACCAACACACATCATCACAGCCTATAACAGCAACATAAGCCCAATGCCATCACCGCTACGCCCACACTGTCAAGCAAAGGACAGGCTGTACCTATGGCAACCCACATCCCCGCGCTCAATGAAAGACGCACAGGGACAGGTCTTACCTCTAACCCCCTCCGACATTGAGCGTATTTGAGAGGTCATGGTCCACGGATATGCGGAAGGAACCCGCGAGTCATATGGATCGGGGCTGCTCATTTTTCACGTTTTTTGTGACAGCAAAAGCATCCCAGAGAACCAGAGAGCCCCCGCAAGCCACATCCTAATTTCATCATTCATATCCTGCATGGCAGGTCACTATTCTGGGAAAACTATATCAAACTACGTCTATGGTGTCCGTGCGTGGCACGGTTTGCACGGCATGTCGTGGAAACTAAATGACATGGAAATCGACACCCTCCTCAAAGCGAGCGTATCCATGACCCCCGCGACAGCCAAATGCAGCAAACGTGAACCGTACACAGTAGAACTCATCATAGCCATTCGAGAACAACTCAGTTTATCAGACCCCTTGGACGCTGCTGTCTTTGCTTGCCTCACCACCGCATTTTACGCCACAGCAAGGGCGGGAGAATTCACGGTCCCGCGCCTGGACGCTTTCAACCCCACGCTGCACATAACTCCCGCCAACGTGACAGACGTTCGTGATCAACAGAACCTCCTCACCAAGAACTTCCACCTGCCCCGGACGAAAACATCATTAGAAGGAGAGGACGTGCACTGGGCCAAGCAATCAGGACAATCGGACCCAGAAGCAGCTTTTCTGAACCACCTTGCCGTCAACGACCCCCCCATCAACAGCGCTCTGTTTTCATACCGCCACAAAGACTCATACAGGCTGCTAACGAAGACAAAACTCACGCAAAGGTTAGCTTCAGCAACTAGAGCAGCAGGGTGAGAACCACTGCAAGGACATGGCATACTGCATAGGATCCACCCTTGAATATCTCCTTCGAAACATTCCCTTCGATGTCGTTAAAGTCAAAGGTCGCTGGGCAAGCGACGCTTTTCTCAAATACCTTCGCCGAACACGCTCAAATTTTAGCGCCCTACATGCAAGCCGTCCCGTCTCTGCAGGACCAGTTTCTCCGCTACACCTTACCCCCAGTTCGCGAGGTTGAGCATTGGCAATAAGCGAAAAGCAGACCATGTGAGTGTTCCACGTCCGTCTCCTAAAACGGGGGTATCCGAGGCAACAACGAGTTTCGCTGGATGCGTCGACGAACTCCTAAAACATCTGGGAATCGCAGCTCACCTCCCTTTTTCTCTTAGGTGCACTCCTCGGGGCCGGAAAGCGCTACGCGCTCTCGCCCAAAAGCTATCTCGCCGTCAGAATTTGCCCAAACACACTCTATTCCCCCCAGTATTCTAGTAATACAAAATTCTATATGTTGGTCGTGTCACAGTGAACCTCGAAGACTGCAATTAACACTCTCCCAATGAGCTTGGTAGACTGAGCATGTCGCGACAGTGAGTCGTGTTTCCGCTTTCGCGCTGGTACAGTAGTTGATCGCACGACATGCAGGTCGTTGCGGAGTTGATCAATACGCTTAGTCTGTATAAATATCCCTGCAGCTTCGACATAACATTCGCACGAATTCTGTAGCATTGATAAAAGACATTTATGTTACTCGACTTGCATACGTTTTGGTTTTACACGAATATACAAGAAAACCGGTGTATTCAGCCATCGAAGGACGTGTATAGGGAAGCCTACAACTTTGACGCGGGACGCTCGCTAAGACTAGGACTGATTTCAACAACTACGACACGTTGTACGCCTATCATTTCACACTCGTATCATACCGATCGCCTATCCAGGCCTCAATGCATCTCACGCGACCTCCGGATAACTCTGCATTGTACGCCTGAGTCCTACTTCCGGAATCCTCGTCTTAAATTCAATAGCGCACGGCCGTTCATTCGGCATCACTCCTGTCATGAACCCCATATCATCCAGCGGCTTCGTAGGATCCAAAGTGAGTTGGAAGGCCCAAAGAATAAGGAGCGAGTTTATGAAGACTGATCTATACCAATCGAGATGAGCTTAGAGGATCATGTACGTGGAAGGATATCTTTACCTGTTCGCAACGTGCAGACCGGGACATATACTTGATGGAATGACAGTCAGAGAAAGAATGCGTTGGAAGACGATGCTTACCGCCGACCAAACCCGTAGACGAAGAATTTAAGATCGTCTCTCATGCGATCTTGATCGTCAAGCCAGCGCTGAGGTCTGAACACATCGGGGTCAGGGTAGACATCTGGATCTCGAGAGATAGCCCTGACGGTGGCTATCAGATACTTCGTTTCTCGAAGAACGAGGCTTACCAGTGGTTTCCGAGTACCGAAGTCCCGGCGGGAATGCGATAGTTTTCCTGTCAGTGGATGTCAGGTTATTCGGACGACAAATCATTCAGAAAGCACTTGCCCAAATCACGTCTTGAGTCGTTCGGTGAGGAAATCCTGCGGGGTGAACTGCGTAAATCTGATGTACAGACCCGACAATGAAGATATCCACCATTAGGAGCCAATGGTCTCCATCTCAAAGTTTCGGAAATAAAGGCCTCCAGACGAGGAAGGCTTGGTTGGTCGGCGAAGGTCGGCGCTTTGGTGGAGAAATCATTGAATTGGTAGAAGTGCTAGGGTAAATGGAGCTACCTCGGTGCCTTCCGATGACCGCATCGAGCTCGGCCTGTACTTTTGCTTGTTCCTCGGGGAAGCACGCGGCCGCCATTAGGACCGTGCATATTGCCACAGCAATCTGGCACCTTGATATCAGCTACATCTCTTCGGAAACGACAAATCAAGACACCTCACCGAATCGGATCCAGCTCCAAACAAGGTGCCACCAAGAAACGCCATCTCGGTCTCTGTCAACCCGTAGGAATGCTCATTTTCTAGCATATATTTCATGAACGAAGGGCCGACGTCCACATTGCTCTGCTGTGGAATGATTCAGACATAATCTGAACATTGAAAGGGCAACGCGTACTAATTGCTGTTTAACATGGTTCAGTTGCTTGGTGTAGAGTTTCCTGGTCCTCTCAAACTCCCGTTTTAATTCTTGGCCGTACCAAGGAAGGTATTTCAGCCACGGTATCGAGTCCACCAGGTAAGCACCAGGGTGCAGGACTGTACGAAGGGTTTCAAAAATCTGGTGAATTTCTTTGACTTCGGGATCAGTTGCAGACGTGGGCGTGGTTTTCCCATATGTAACTTTCATAATCGTCGCCGCGGCATAACTTTAAAATACTCATCAGTGATCTGCTATCATAGGGCGAACCTAGGAAAGCACTTACGTTGTCGCATGGTCCTGGAAGTTGTACGGATCATCGAGAATGCACAGGACCGTGTTTTTCGCGTGGGCCATCTGCAGAGACTGATAAGCCTCAGCCGCTTTAGGCTGGAGATGCGAATGAAGTGCCCTGCGTCACAAGTAAGATAGGGGTTATTTGGACTTTCCCACCGACTACAAACCTACGCATCCGACGAAACTTGTGCCCAGCATGCATAAATCCAATTGACTGTCCGCCACTAAGGATTTCACCAGCAGCAATCATGCGAGGACGGTCAGCTAACAATCCGCCCTGCTTCTCCATGATATCCACCACGGCCTGCAGCAGAATGTTGAGCCTACATACTACGACAACTTCAAGTTAGCATGGAGGGACCGACTTTGTGACGGCCGATGATAACAATGGTCTCAGTTCCTGAACGAATGGTCACCAAGGGACCGTACTCGTCAATCCATCCCGCTACAGTGATAAATGAGCTGATCAGCAATGGGACACAGTTAGCATTAAAAAGACGATGATTAAAATATGAAAATTTACTTGCGAAGGGGTAGGAAGTGCCCCCTAAGACTCCAAGTGGGAGGAGAAGGTGGAAGAGAGAGGCCGCTCTCTGATCTAAGAAGGTAAGCCCAAATAATCACTCCGGCTGTCCCAATACAAGCCGTAGCACCAAGGACGAGCTGCGTGTGGTGAGAAATGGGCAGGTCAAATAGCTGAAGCATGACGGATTACCAATTGGGAGAAGTGGGGTGCAATGGATGGAACTTATCGATAGTGCTTTCAACTTTGGGCTTTTAAGTACTGCACTAATCAATTAGATTTTCCCTGACCACTGGCATGGTACGTGGAGTTCTGAAGCTAGGAGGAGACTAGTGTGTCTCAAGTCATACAGAGTATGTGGTGCCCTGTTCTGGGAACTCGGAGCCTTGCTCGGTTCCGAGGTGCAGTGAGATTCTGTTGATTTGTGAGCTGTGTCGCGGCTTTCTTGATTTGACTCCATACTTGCACTGCTCAACTCACTGTTCAACATTCCGAGTTTCACGGACCCTTGGAAACCCGCGCGGCGGCCCCAATGGCATTCGGTCCAGGGTTCGGCCTTTTCCTCTGAACAAAATCCATGGTGACTTTTCGAAGAACCGGACTGAGCCGGACTTCGGCAGCCTCAGTCAGTAGTACCCAGTCAGACTCAGTCGGAGTCGCGACGTCGGACCCGTTTCTTTGCTGTTCACTTCAAAACAGTAATACAGTAGATATGCTCATAATGCATAATAATTGATAATTAATAAAAAAACGAAATTCTACCATGGTGCGTGTTTTTATATGTCGAAAGTCGGTTTGTTATCGAATTTCTTTGGCATTTTTTTTCATGCATTATGAGAATGTCGACTGTAATACCAGTGGCTAGAAGTCTTCGACAGACCAAAAATTCAGATGATCGCCCTTTACACGTTACCATCATGGACCCTCGATACTCTCGGGCTCACGTTCTCTCCCCAGCCGGACCTGCTACTAGGTGTGATTGCATCGCACGACACACAGGTCGCTTTTATTGTATCACTCGGGACGCTTCGCTTCGCTGCGTCACCAGCTAAAACATGATCTATCGTGCAGGCACGAAGTCACAAAGGACTTGCCCAGACTTTATAAACGAATTCGTCCGTAATTGGTTTGGCAGTCTGATGGACGCCATCGAAAAAATACTAGAACTTGAACGTATCGAGCGCGCGCGAGACCATCTGGAGGCAGGCACGCTACTTAACTGGACGCAATAGCAGGACTTGGTTGCGAAACCTGTCCTCGCTGTTAGCTGCGTGCTGTCGGACCGCCTTCGAAAATGTGTCTGGCCAAATGATTTAACACCAGAAGCGGCCTTTCTCGTAATGTCCAAATAGAACACAGTGGGCTTTGTCGCTACTATGATGAAGGTCAGATCAAACAGGGCTTCCGATGATCCACCGATCAAGACCCTGGGCAGCAGCAGGTGACTGATAATGTTGGGTTACGAAATGCAGGTGCATTTCCTTCTGCACGCACGTCATGTACGCACATGTACTTCGATGTCGGCTGAATACACCGTTGTGCTCGGACGGGCGGTGGACGGAAAATTTTGGCGATGGTTGGCGTAGGTACCGTCCAGTTTACATGTGGAGTAAGCATGCTGAACAACTCCGTAACGACCTGCATATTGCACTGTATCAATGCGAAAGCAGAAACACGACTCACCGTCGCGACATGTCGGGAGAGGGTTAATGGCAGCACCTGGATGATCCGTAGCTTAAAGGCTATTGGTATACGGCGCAACGGGTGAGTCATGGGGTTGAACCCCGGATACAAAGCGGACGACTCGTACCCACACCCGTCTTACAAGTAAGACCTTTGCAACAGCTTTCGAAGTAGTCGTTGTCGCAAACGTAGTATTTAGTTAAGCATGCACTAACAGAAATAGATGTTGTCAAAGTAGTTACAACAGCGAGGAGGAATGAGAAACACATGGCTTGTGCTAGGTAATATGGGATGCGCTGGAAGGGAGATCTCGAATAATGGCTCTGATACTGGTAGAAGGAAGACAACCTATTTTTATATCCTAGAAATAGTTTTTTTTTTTGCGAAGTACTCGGCAGTTCTATCAGAATGGTCGCGCCTGTTGGACTTCAGGTAGAGGCAGAGTCACAGGGTCGGCGGATAAATAATCTGGAACATGTGAACTGCAAACGTACTATGAATCCCAATACAACATAGGGAGTAGTGACGGAGATGCACCTTGTAACTTAATAAATCTACCACGACGAAATCTCGAACAAACAATAAATTCTCCCGCACCCTGCAGAGTCACCTTAATCATGTCGAGCACTTCCCGTGCTACACACTACTGCTAGTTGACACATGCACGCGCTCCTGGAAAGCAATTGAAGTCATGGCGGTTCCTGTGTCGGAGTCGGCCACGAGCTTAGCGTTATATTCTCGAACGCTAAGGATCAGGCGTGGTCCCAGCACAAACAGCTGCACGACTGTAAAAATTTGAAGAACACCAAGATAAATCTGAGTTCCGAGGGAGTATATGTCCTATGGAAATGATGAACCATGGTGGCACGCAGAGGTCAACGACAGATTGCATACCGCTGACATCGTTGAAAACGCATAAGCGAGGCTGAAGCCAGAAAGGGCAACAAAGCTAGCACGTGCGATGCTTCAGTGAAAAGGGACAACCACATTCACCATTACGAGCTCACCCCACAAAGTAAACCACGTGAGTTTTCATCAACACTGTGAAACAGTCCCCGATAATGCCCCCTGTCAAATTTCGTGGCAGTTCACGGAAGTGTTTTATAGCAATCCAGACTGCAAGACACAACGCGAGGACCTCCCATACAGCGCCGATTATCCAAGTGATGGTATCCAGAATTAAGCTACCTCCCTGGAAATCAATAATGCACTGGTAGGTGCCAGAGAGAATGAGGACATCTGGTATTCGTCAATGAGCCGATGCACTCAATTCTTTCATCCATAATTAATCTTACCCGCTGAAATATGCCTCATTACTATCACGGTGACCACTCCGTCGGTGATATTGACAGCCAAGAAGACGACAACGAGAAGTATCAGAACCTTCCTGGATCGCTGATACATGGCATGTAAGCGAGCAATGATGATGACTTGTGTCATATTCCAGTCAAGCACTATCACTGAGGTATTGCGCGTAGCTCACCGCCCAGCATCACATTTACGACGACACTTATCGCATTTTGTGCGACGCTCATAATAACACCTGACAAATCCAGTTAATGATCAGCCTCGGAGGATCACGCGCTCGAAACAAGCTCACAGCTATGGCGGTCATTATACTGAACCAACAAGCTGGTCAAGAATATCACTCACCCCTGAATCAGAATGCAGTTAATTAGACGGGAAAGATAGGCATATGTGCACAATACACACTGCATCTGTGACCGGGATTGTCGGAACACTGTCTGTGTTCCATTGGTCAGAAGAAACATGCAGTGTATATAAGGATACACACCTAGTACACTGAGGCTATTGTGAGAGATGATTGATTAGCATGACACCAATTACTTAACCCTCCAAACATACGCAGCATATATTATTCCAACGTAGCGCACCTAGGATATATTCCAGTCAGCACGACTTGCCGATCACACTTATAACACGAGCTACACACACTAAGATACAGAAAAGTCATGAGGGACCAGCGTTGTCTCTGTCGCGGGTTAATCGAACTTTCATATTGTTTTTCTGACGTGGAACACCGCTTACCCAGATCAATTCGACCTGTGAAATCTTTCTCAGGGAGATGGCTGCTCTGACAATGGCATCAACCTACCTCTTGTCCGAACGTCAGTGCTGTAAATACCATAAGGATATCAGCGGTTCTCTAATATTACTTTACTCACCCCAGTCGTATATCACCCCAGCAAAGGTTGCAACTGTGAAACCGCAGCCAAGTTCAGATCGAGACATTACGGTCTTCATGCAACTCCACAAACCTAGAAAATAGCTGGAAATACGAAATGCATTAATGGACGGCCACCAACTGGGATCATTTGAAACTAGGGTCATACTGTTAGTGGATGGGTGTGATAGAGCGGTGAAGTTGGTGGATGATGTATCGCCATCCAGAGCTTTTATGGCGGAAATGGCATCGTATAAGATGATATCTGTTCGTGCCTTGGCTGACCAAAGTAAAGATTGTCGCATGAAGTACATAAAGATTCCACCAGTGAAATCGTGTAGTTCATCAATCCAACACGGGCCGAAGTATGATGCGATCATCGTAAAGCCTGCGATCTCACATTTCAATCGTCATGAACAGTGCCTCTACCTCGCTGGCCCGGCCAACTGCGCGTAATAGCTTGTTGAAGGTCTCTTGAAAATGTTACATTATACAGAAGGTCAGAGATGAACAATATCAATGATAAATGCCACCAAACAGATAACTCACCGACTTGGAGTCGACCTGTTCATCTATTATTAGTGGAGTCTATATCATTATTAACTCGCGCTTATCGTAGGAAATTGTGGAGCAGGCATGTGGTGAGGATAGGGAACGACAGAGCCGTCTCACCCAGAACCTTTTCTGCATGCTCCGCGACGACACGCGTCGTCTGAGGAGTGGATCCATGGATACAAAAGCTGTGCGTAGGGAAGTCGGATGATCACGCTCAACGATGATGTAGATGGCGAAGATTGCTGCTCGGCAGGTGTACCAGGATGATTCGGATTGGGTGGTGAATCGTGATTAAGGAGGAATTGGTTGCGATATGGGGTAATTGGTCGATGATAAGTGGAATTGGTTCAACAGTTGATGGCACAGTTACTGATGCACCGAGGGAAGGTAACTGGATAACCAAAATCAGAACTACATTGCACCAATCCATACGGCTCACTATCCGAGCACTATTTCTTAGTTTTGTCGGGCCCAAAGAAATTCAACAGCCACCACGTTTCGCTGCCTTCCCAGCCTTGGGTTTAGCCCCGCGTGAAGAGTTCGTCTCCTTGATCTTTGAATTAACTACCGATTTTTCCTCCGCCTCATCCTTCAACTTCGGTTCTGCCTTTTTCTTGCCTTTGGACTTCTTTGCATCCTCAGGCGGAGCTTCATCTTCGCTGACGGATTCATAAGAAGAATAATCTTCCGTTTCTGGGAAAACCTCATGAGCAAGGCGCATTTATCACTTTGGAATGGAATGAAAACATACGCATGTAGCCTTTGGCATCAGTGGTGGTACGACTTTTCATGACACGATGTTTCTTCAAACCGTTGCGCCCGACAGGGACCACTTTCCTAGATTTCCTCTTCTTAGCCTGCGGTTTAAGATCCTCTTCCTCTTCCTCCTCGCCAGCGCTAGATGTCAGGAGGTCAACATCAGTTTGGTCGACCTCGTCACCAGTATCGTCTACCACATCGTCGGGGCGATGAGAGGACAAGCGAGACACCCTGACAACTTGATCTGCAGACCGATTAGCATAACAGCAGGTACGTTCTGTATCAACGGACCATCATCAATATCCATCGCTGCAAGGCTCCTCTCAGAGTCTGAAGTCGACCGAGTAATTTTTACGTGACCTGCTCGGGACTTCCTCATCCTCATCATCCGACACAATGACACCCTTTTTCA